TTTTTGTATGATTTCAATATATAAATTCGGGACAAAACGGGTTAATGATCGTACTCCGTATACTCTAAGTAAAGAGATAAATTTGAACTTCATGCTGTTTAGAAAATAGAGGTTGGCTAAAAATTTTGTAAGTATTGAAGTTTTAAAATTGAGTACTTAATAATAGCTTAACTACTGTAGTAGAAATAGTTAAAAGAGAGCAGTCAATAATATATGTCAGAGTCTTTCGTCATTGATTTGGTTGAGGCCTTTAGGCGCCGAAGGGGCCTTTTACCTCTTCATCTTGTTGGTCTTTAGATGTTTCTGTCTTGATGTGGAATCTAGAAAGGAAAAGATTAAGCAAAAGAACTATTAAGATCATATTGGGGTATAAGTCAGAGTTTACAAAAAATACATTTATTATATGCATAACTTCTAACAAGTAGTGGTAGTTATAAATTGTATACTTTTTACTACTTTCATAAAAAAACACAAGTAAAATAAATGTTTCTTACTTTTAGAGATTTATCCTTTACTAAAATGTTACTGAATAAACAGTGTATTTTTATGAACTATTATTTTTTCTTCAAAAACACAAAAAAGTAATTTAATTTTTATTCCATCTAACAAACCTTTTTCTGTTTTTAGGGAGAGCATTATAATTGGGATATCAGAGCCCAATCTCATATTCTGGGTTCATATTTCTATGGTAACATAGCTACCCAATTGATCGGAGGAATATTAGCTGAAAAAGTTGGTGCTAAATATGTTTATGGCGGTGGAATACTTTTGACAGCGATTGTTTACTTGCTGACGCCGTTGGTCGCCAGATGGGGTTACACTGCTGTTGTCGTAAATCGAATCATTCAAGGTCTGGGAGACGTAAGCAGGCAATTTCAGTTTCCTTAAATGCGCTATTATTAAATAAGTTGCTGAATTAATGAACAAACCAATTAATTACATTGGGAGGGTATTTTCGATGCACTTAATATCGTAGAGGAAATAAAAGAACATTAAATAATCAAAAAACTGCAAGTATTTGATCGTTTTGCATTTCCTAAAATAAATATTCGTTGCAGAAAAAGGCAAAATAAGGTGACATGTAAATGAACAAATTCTAAAAAAAAAAATGTTTTGGAAAAAAACTGGTTCATATGAACATGAGCAAGTAATTTTTAATTATTCACTTATATTTAATGTGAGCCAGTTTCTTATTAAAAATCATATTGAACAAGGGTATAAATTAAGTTCTCAATGAAAGTTCGTCTCCTTAAATAAGTGAAGTAGTTACTAAATTTCAAAGTAGTTTGTAGTCACTACAATTAAAGCTGATCATTAAGACACGGTTCCCAGCAACGACGTAAATTAACAACAACAACAACACTACAATTAAAAAAAAGGTAGTAGTAGTTAACAGCATGTGTGTAGTACACTACAAAAATAATGGAGTTTTTCTGACCACTGATTATGATAGTTGTCTCCTTTTTCAATTTCTTCAAGGAATTTTGAATACAAATGCCTTAAAAAAACTAACTAATCTGTCTAATCATTTGGCCAATGTTGCATAAATACACCATTATATTTCTTTTGATATTTTTCATGTCAGAAACTTTTTTGCGTCTTAATATACAAAATTTAAGCACTTTTCAATGAAAATAATACCAGTTTCGTTTTTTAAATTTCTATGCTTTGCGTAAAATGTTTTAACTCTAACCGTTGTTACCACTTTCAATACCAGCTGCTGAGGATTCGATTAAAAAAATATTTTGAGAAACGGTACAGAACTATGAACTAAAATTTACAGATTTCCTTTTAATTTTGCCAATTTTTAAAAAGGCTCAACACAAAATAACTGTTATGAAGTGGCATTTAGCATAAGCCTTTGTTTTATTCAGAAGCAGCGGTGATTGAAAACCCTTAAAATCGAGTTTATTAAACCAAGAATCATACATTAAAACACTATGCTAGAAAATATTTATTCACTGTTCGGAGCAAGTTGCTATCTTTGAATTTTAAATATTGCGTGGAGATAGGATTTCCGGGCTGGTATATATATATATGTCATTTATAACCACTGCTGTAAATTCGAAAGGCATTGTTTTATTTATCTGCAGGACTGCATAAATTAAATTTACCAATTTAAATATAATGAGCCGTGGTGGCTCAGGGGATAGAGCACTCGCCTCCTAATGAGGTGATCCGGGTTTGAATCCCAGCGATGGCAGGTTAAACATCCTCAGGGGTAGATGGATTATAGGTTAGAGTCCCTGGCTCACCAGGCTCATCGCAGAATATTTTTGTGGTTTTCCCTTCATATAACACAAATCCGGGTTAGTTTCATCAAAAATATATCCCATGAGCCGCGACGGCTCGCCTTCCAATGAGGTGAACCGGGTTCGAATTACAACGAAGGCTGGTTGATACGTATCTGCCTCCGGCTTGCACCGACCACAGTGCTGACGTGAAATATCCTCAGTGTTAGACAGATCACGGGTTATAGTCCCTTTGCAGTCAGGCTAAACATGGGAGGTTCTCGTGGTCTTCCTCTGCATATAATACAAATGCGGATAAGTTTAATCAAAAAGTCCTCCACGATAGCAAAATTCTACCAATACTTGATCCAGGAGTTCCCTTGTCTTCTGGATAGGGTTAAACAAGCAAGGTTACGGAGTTGAACATTATTAGTCGTGAACCCAAATTTCGTAATTTTCTGTTTTCGGATTTGCTTTTTAGAGGCATTTATTTTCATAGTGGTTTTCTTTTAGGGTGTGACATTCCCAGCTATAAACGTTGCCATCAGTAAGTGGTCACCAACAAATGAAAGAAGCAGATCTTCGGCTATTATTTTTTCAGGAATGCTTATTGGGACCATCATTGGAATGCCGATCGCTGGACTTTTGTGCACTTCGGATGCTTTCGGTGGGTGGCCATCCATGTTCTACGTATTTGGTAAGTTAACACCACAATGAAATTCAAGCTCATGTTAAATAAATAAATACCGAAACTATTATAAGCATTAGAATTTCAAAGACGAAAACCAGAAACTTCTTTTATTTAAAATTTCAAGCTCCTGAAATAAAAATAGGAAGTTAGATATATACATACCAATTGCTTTTAATCTCTTAAAAATTATGATAGATCAAAAATATTTGCTACGTTACGAGAAATGAACGATTAAAGCTTCGACTATTGACTATTTAATTCATAAATACAAGAATGTCACGGGTTATTAAAATTGCGAAAAATGAAACAAACTCAATTTATTTTACTTATTTATAATTGTTTTAATTATTCAATCGTAAGCCACTATGATTTACAATTCAAATTATTCACATTTTAAAGAAAAAGAATTCTCGCATTCACTTTCAATAGAAATCCGAAAAATACATGATAGAGAAAGTTGCCTATTTCTATCTCTTCTAATAAAGTTTTGGATTATATTTTGCCACATTGTGTGTTTTTAGTTTGTGACAATTCTGCTTTAAGTTGGATCAGCTCCTGAGTTAGAGGATGAATATCCAACCACTTTCTTTCATGGAAAAATCTTACCCATTTCCGTAAATGAGGCTTGTACTTTAGCGGATAAAACTTTCCAGTAGACCTAGTACTTACCCAGATACTCCAACTGTTAGGGACTGTTGCTAATTATTATATTTTTAATAGAATCCCCATTTTCATGTTTATGTATTCCTAATCTCTTTAATTATTCCATCGTAACTGCTACTCTTACTTACATTTCAAATTATTTATATTTAAAGCAAAAGCATTCATTGCTCTCATCTTCAATAGTAAATTGAAAAAGTGTTTTGAGTTCAGCTTTTCTCAGTTATTCTGATTTACGGAATTTATAATCCACGAGCAATATCAAAACAGATTTGCATGTTCCAATTATCAACAAGCCTGGGAAGGTTGCCAGTTAGGATAAATGAAATATGTATGTATATGTTAAGGTGAATGACCGAAATCGGTGGTTGTTGACTTTCACCGGTGAATGTTGACAATCACATAGTCGCTTTGGTGAATGTTCGAAATATTTATAATATTCGATTTTATATGAACTTATTCGTGATTTGAAAAGTCAGTAATAAATATATTTTTGCTATGTTTTAGTACTTATTTACTATGGCCTTATTGAGTGATAAAGGCATAAAATATCTAAGAAAAGTAAGTAGTTTTACAGTTTTTCTTTTCTGGGGAAAATGTACCAATCGCCTCTGAATGTTTAATGGCCTTTTATATTTGCATTTTACTACAATCTAAAACAGCTGCGTATAAATTATTTTTCCGAAAAGGGTAAAAGAATAAAGAAATTTACGATACCACGTTCTGGGTTCAAAGGTATTAAAAGTATAATTTTTAGTTCATTGCACCTTTTTTCCATGCACATAAAAAGTTAAAAATCTATTTAGAAAGCAATTATATACATAATTTTCTTGAAACACAATTTCTTAAATTTCAGGTTCAATAGGTTGCATATGGTTTGTATTTTGGTGTGTTTTAATTTATGAAAGTCCAGCAATACATCCTGCCATCTCAAAAGAAGAGTTACTTTTCATCGAAGAAAACAAAACAGAACGAAAGATGAAGGTTATATAATATCGATTACACTTTATTCTAACAGGATTCTTTTTCAGAGACATTTTAACAAATTTTAATTTAAGTTAAATATGGTTTGTGGAAATTGAATTTATTTAATGTAAATTGTAGAAAAGAATTTAATAATTGTGTTACACCTGCAATAAAAGGAGCAGCGGATGAATGAAACATTTCCAAAGAATTATTTCTCAAATTTAGCATGCATAACTGCTTTCAAGACTTTTTTCTTTATTTAGATTCAGTTATTTTAAGTAGAACCCCAAATTGGAAAATATTAGCCATTTTAAGCTTAAAAAAACAAAATATGGAAGATTTACTCTTTACTCATTACTAAAATACAAAATTGTTCAATTTAGTAAATAAATATAATATAGTCACCTAAATAATTAGTATGTTTTTCTTTGAAAAAACGAGTTTTGCTAACAAATTGGGGACAATCATCACAGTTTTTCGAAGGCTCCGTCGTAATATGACATGGTGCTTTTTTGCGAATAATATTCTCCTTATAAAAGTGTTGTGAATTTGCAATTGTTACTCATTACTGTTATGTCAAGTTTTGCCTATCTAAAGCCAGTGCTATCTACGCTTATTGAGAAAAGGGTGCAAAACGTCTATATGTAGAAAAGTCACAGTTTTGAAAAAAGGGAAAGCGTTTGTGGTCTATTTTTTTAATATTTGGAAACTCATTCCAATGCTGCATTACTTGGGCTCATTAAAATGAGCAAACACTGAGAATAAGACATAGCGATTTTGATAATTTTCAAGTAGGTGGGAAAATGTCGCCAAATTGGCGATTTAGAAAGAAAAAAAGTTGAATATTTTTTTAAATATTTAAGTTATTTCTTTGTTCTAAAGCCCAGATAATTTTTCACGACAAGAATGTATATATAGTCTAACATCATCGCATTGTTTTAAGAGTAGGGCACTTAAACTATGGCATTTTTTCATTTTTCTTGAAGACAGACTTGCGAAAAAAAGCGTTAATTAGACTCTTCAGGTCATATTAATAAGAAATGCAAAAGAAAGGTAGAATTAATTATTTCCCTTCCCTCTAACAGCACCATGTCTGGCTATTTTGCTGCAAAGTAAAAAAAAATGGCGCTTAAGAATTTTAAAACGGGAGAATTTCTAAATAATTGACTATCATACTTTTATAAGTTTTTCTATTTCATATTATTTTGCTTGCTAAAAACATACCAGTGTCTATATTTGTGTACGCTTACTCACCTTGTCCTCTTTCACGCATACTTTTAAAAGCATACAAATTCATGTTTAATTTTATAATAAAAATGTTTCATAATTTTGCATGTTTTTTAGATGTCGAAACAAGTTTGGAAAAGCATATTTACGTCAGTACCAGTATGGGCTCTTTCAATAATACATTTTGGATTTGATTATGGATTTTTGATTTTACTGACTGAGTTGCCCACTTATCTAAACACAGCTCTTAACTTTGATTTAAAATCGGTAAGCAACTTTTGTTTTGACCCTTTTGCACTGCGAAAGGTGCCCCACCGTTATCTCTAAGTTATTTATATGGGTAACTGTGTGAATATAGAGTTGTGTCTTGTAATCCGTAATTAGAACTGCTATAGTAACGAAAATATATAAGTCATTGCTTTTTTTGTAATTTGCAGTATTACACCAGGGTAGACAACAGCAACCCTGAATAAAAAATATATCATCTGAATATTTTTTAATGTAGAAGAAAATTAAATATAAGGAATCGCAGACTTTTGCTTAAAAAGTACTTTATAAGGCCGCGATGGCACAGGAGATCGAGCACTCGCCTCCCAATAATGTGACCCGGGATTGAATCCCTGGTTGATTCAAGTTCCGCACCCGGCTCGCACCGAGCACAGTGTTGACTCAAAATTTACGGAATATTATTTAGGGACAAAATTCAGAAGGAAAAAAAATTAATTATTAAAAAAAATAGATAGCATCAAGATCATTTTGAATTGCACGTAATTCAAAAAATTTTTTATAAAAGCTTTCGTAAATTTTCAATATACTTTTCGTAAACTTCGTACTTAACTTGTTTGAGTACAGATGGCGCACAAGAAAATGGGTTTTTTAATAGAGGATGAAAAATTCATTTTTTGTTCTTAATTTCTATAAATCGACATTTGTAGTCATTAATAGACATATAAATAATCATCATGTCATTTATCGAAGTTTTCCTCTGTAATTATGGTGTACAAAACCTTTAATCAACGTATAATCGTCTTCGAATAATAGTTACTCTTATAATTATTATTCACATTGTCAGGAATATTTTTGTCGGCTCCGCACAGTTAAAATTTAGCTTTACTTATCCGAATGCTCATTATTTCTGATAATGTTTTGGAAATTATCATTCCTTGCCATGTATATATAAATATATATATATATGGGGTGGCTGTTACTGGGAAACAAGCACCTTGCTTGTATAACTGAAATAATAAGAGCAACCTGCTGTAAACTGTAGATGGCTGTAGTTTGATTGTCAACGTGAGGTAACGTAGATCAGGATTTCAGTAATGGTATTGTATTTGATGCTGTAGACTATTGATGCTTTGGTTTGAAGACTATTATTTATGCTGATGGTTGTGATATGAGGCGTCGGAGGTGAAATGATTGGCTATTGGTCTTAGTTTTTCGTCTTTTTCATAGTTTTCGAAGTTGATTAAAGTTGGAATTTGATTAAAGTTGGCTGCGGTGAATTTTATTGCTTTATCGCAGAAGTCTGCATTTAATTTTTATACATATTCGAATAGTTTATTGCATTAAAGAAAGTTGCATTTATGTGATACAGTGAATTTTTGATACGTAGTGGGGGAAAATGACTTAAAATTGACAATACTCAACTAGAAATAACTTAAATTTCGTTACCACTAGGCAAAACTTTTTTGCAGAGCGGAACAAGTTGGCATCTCTGTAGATTAATGTTTGTGCAGTCCATATAAACTAGACTATATGCATTTAGCCTTGTCATTATCATACCTCTTTGAGTCATGTAAAATAGAATATTTTTTTACTGTCAAGATTTTTGATGAGTGTAAATTCTTTCTGCGTTGTGGTAATTAGAATCACACTAAAATGAATTTTTTTATCACAGATATTAAAAAAAAAAAAAATTCTACCGCTTTAAATATAAAACAAAGAATAGATGAAAAAGTCACTATATCTTGATAATTACTCTCGTAACTCATACCTATGAGAAACGAAATTTTATTAAGTAAACTTTCGACTTTTTCATATCAATAGTCTAGCCTTAATAATGGTCTGGTTTGATTAGTCTAGCTGGGCTTCTGAGGCAAATAATGGTCCTTTTCCCATTCATCCAGTAATGAGAACTTAAGCAAAAACACTTAGATGGCGCATGTTAAGGTACCTAAAAAAGAAAGGCTCTTCGCCATGGTAATAAGAAACAAATAATTGAATGTATAGAAAAATACAATACATATTTACAAGTAGGGGAACAATATTTACAAGAATAACTATTTACAAAACATGTGAAGAGTTAGCAAAATTCAAGATGAGAAACGACAAGATCATAAAAAATTTCAATAACAAAAAAGTGTACCTTTGTTAAAGTAGAAACCCGACCGTCCTGGCTATTTACCACTCATGTCGGGTTGCTCTCTACACAAAAAATTACTCGGATTTATCTCGCCCTGATCAGACCCACAAGGGGTTGCTCTTTCACAGGGTTTCGACTATCTGTGTGTTTTAACTCAATGCACGTTTTTAAGTGTGAGGATAACGTCGGAAGTAAAAAAGTGAGCCAAAGGTCTGATGACATCATCAACTAGGTTGATGCAGTCAAAACTTTTGTTGAAATCGGTGGCGTCACAAATTAATGCCTTCTGATAGAAATTTCTGTTCAGTTTAATAAAATATTGATCAAATTTGTTACTTTTTAAATCTCTATGGATGGCATCATTTCTGAAAAACCACCTTGCACCGGTTAGTCTACGTAGGATTTTATTCTGTAGCACAGTAAGGGTTTTTAAGTCATTTTTTGAGGCATTACACCATGCAGTTGATGCGTATGTCATGATAGGTCTTATCATTGAAGCTTTCTCATTTTAAGATTTAAGTACTGCAGATAGAATAAGGCTTGCAGTTTATTAGTTGCCGCAGCAACCTTTCTTTTAATGTTAGAAACTTGGTTCTTCCAAGTGAGCTTATTGCAGAGATGCCAACTGATCCGGACACGCAAAAATAATTAAATAAACGGCAAATAACTAAAAAGTAAATTTTGCATATATTTAACTACTTGTGCTTGCTTTTAAAAGATATAGCATTACATAAGCAGGGTTGCCAGACTCTGAAAATAAAAAATACTACGACTTCATCCGAAAAAATACTACAAAATACTACATGTCTTAAGCGCTATCTACAGGATTTTTTTGAAAGCTTATGCAGACGAAAACTGAGGCAGACGATTATTATTATTATAATTAACATATTCAAAGTTGTATAAAATTGAACCTAAATAAAAATATAAAATCTCATATTTTGTCTCACATCCTACATAGAAAAGAAAAGTAAAATATACTTAATCAACGTGCATGAGAAACAATTTATATTATAGTCTACTAGTATAAACGAACTTTTATTTTTCACAATCATCACTAGATACAGTGACTTATAGAAAATAAACTGTTGGATTATTTCAGAAATTGTTTTTTACTTCAAAACTACAGTGGCACTTTTCTTTGTTTTAGGAAATGAAAATAAAATAAATAAATAAAATTCAAAAAAAAAAACTGAAAATACCACATTTTAAAAAAATACTACGAAAAATACCATACCCTTTTTTTTTTGGTGAAAAAATACTACCGTAGTATTAAAAATACTATGTTTGGCAACAAAAAGTGGCAAATTATATAAACCTACAAATTATTTAGAAATAGTGGTGGATAAAAATCTACTGAATTGAATTTATTAAACTAAGAATCACAATTGATAAACTACCACTTCAAAATATATATTTGCTGTCCGGAGCAAGTTGGCATCTCTGTTATTGTTGATTGTTAGACCAAGGTAAACAGTTTTGTTTACAACTGGAATTGTTTTGTTGAATAGTACAAGTTGATTAGGGGGAGAGATGGTTTTTCTACCCTTTTGTACAATCAAAAGCTGTGACTTGCTGGCATTAAATTCGAGTTTCCAATCAAGACACCAGTCTTCGATATGTAAAATTATAACCGTTGGCAACATCTATTAAAGAGGGCATCGGAGTCCAAATGGTTAATTTTACGCTGATTTTAGGGTTTCAGCTTAAAAGTTTTGACATCCTAGAATCGAATTACATTTCCTTTTATTCCTTGATGCAGATGGGATGCCGACATCTTTTTTATATATATTTTCTGACTCTCTATTAACAAGTAAAATATATTTTGATATTTTTGTAATAATAATAAAATCAAATAGTTATTAAAATATCTGTTATATTATCGTAATTATATTTGTATTAATATATAAAATCCAAACAAAAGTAGTGTGAAATTCCCCCCCCCACTCATTTTCAAAAAATTATGAATAATTTATTTTACAATCTGTATATATATTTATCTTACACGGCGACAAAAAAAGCCTCATTATAAATCCCCAAATGCCAACGCTAAAAAATCGACCAATGATTGCCTCTAAAATGTCACATGTCAAATCTAGTTGAGGTGGCTCAACATATAGCGCTTTAAAAAACGGAAACTGCAATAACCAGAGAGAGCATTCTCAGCCGCTTTTTCTTACGAAGTTATATATTACGAATTTATTTGCCGATTTTTGATTTATATCACGAATTTATTTGTTTTATTATTGTTATTAGTTATTCATTGAAAAATGAGTCTCAGTCGTGCTCTTACGCTTCAAGATTTTATACTATAGCACATTTCTTATAGGTTTCTAATTACATGTCATTTATATGAATTCAAATTTATTTTAGTGACTTAGTATTTACTAAAAAGATGAAATTTTTTTTTAAAAAAGTTGTTGTATGGATTTGAATGATTGTTTTGAATTCTTAGAATTTTGTGCATTTGTAATGTACCTAAGTTAGTAGCGAGCGAAGAGAGCTTCGTTTGCGGAGCAAACCATATAAGATAACGTAGAAATTTTCGGGGGTTGGGGAGCGTTAGCGAGCACTAGGAGCAGCCCACTTGTTTAAATAAATTTCAAAGAGGAATAACTGTTTCTCTTAGCACTAAATACACTGCTCAAAAAAATTAGGGGAGCCATTTGCTCGCCTAATTTTTTTGAGCATTGTGTATATAT